TTTTTTTGTAGTTCCTCTGAGTTGAATATTTGAAATTTCTGCTGCTCAAGCTGGCACGAGATATATCGGTCGACCTCTTTATTTAACAGGTCAGTATGATGAGGATATTCACTGACCGTTTGATCATACAAATGGCAATCAAGAAGGAAATAGACCTCGGCGTAACAGCATCTTATCGTGACATCATCAGGCCCGGTCCATGTGGCCCTGTGAGTCTTGATTGCTCTGCATTGGTGAAATCACATCCCACCAATGGAACAGAACCAGAACCTTCTATGATCATATGCGATGATGTGAACGGGCCTGATCAACCTTGAGCAATGGTCCTCACAGAGGGATAAATTGTCCCCTGAGTGGGAAGGGGGGGGGGGATTTCAGGGTGTCAGGGGGTAATTGAGGAGGTCGACAAAGTAATATTTCATGTAGTTGTTATATTATGATGAAACACCATTGTGATGGTGTTTTTTTCACTTGGTTATCTAAACGCGGTTCGCTCATGATAAAACTCTCATTTATCCTATTTTGTGTTTATCTTAAGTTCGTCTAGGCCTGGAAAAAAGTCATTTTGGAGTACAAACGAGTATTTGGTAAGTTGTTTAATTTACTGACTGAAATCGTCTCTCGTGAGCACTAAGAATTGACTGATCATGAGTTCTTTGATAGGCAGAAAAGGTCACTGTTTTGGTGCAAGAGGAGTGAGTATTTCTGAATTTATTCATTATTATTCTGTTGCACTGAAGACTTTTGACAAGTCTTTTAATCATTGCATATAATGGGGTTTTTGGTTCGTAAACGAATTTTTTTTTAAAACAAGGTAACTGCTCAATTGTGTCATTGAAGTCTGGTTTGTTACAAATGTGTATTACGCTGTGGTGGATGTGCTGTGGGATTCTAGATTTAAAACTGCTGGTTTCATATTTATGAATGAAATACATAGGCATGCTTTAGTTTCAATCGTCTTCCAAGAATGCATCTATCAAGTTCTTGTATCGAGCAGCAGGGAGATAATGACGACCTACCAGATATCGAAGGGGCAATGTTACTCTCAAGTGTGAGTAACACTGCTCTTGAGGGAACAACGATACATGCAGGAAAGCCGGTCATGGACCGTCAACGTTTACAGTTCGTACGAATGCCGAACTGCCAATAAATACCTTGCAGTGCTCACGATGACAGAATATTTTTTTGTACAAATTAGTGTGGTGCGGGGGTGGAGAAAGTTCGAGGATTGATTTTGCTTGTTTTCAATAATGCATTATTAATTGATGACAGCGTTTCGAGAATGAGGTAGCAGGGCTTTGTTGGACTGAGGAA